TCGGTTACTAAGACGAACTGCAGTCAGGCCAAGACCCCAATGAGGACAACGAGCATGCAGATGAGCTTCCCTGAGACGGTTTCCGACTGTTTGTGCAGAAATGTTTGTTCTCTAACCTCTGCACCACCACTCCCCCCCCCCATGAAATTAAACTAGGTAGATGATTGAAATTATAATAAATTAAAAAAAAAGTCTTAAACGCTGCTGAAAATGGTAATCTTTTTCAAATAAAAAGTTATCCTCACAGATTTGACTGTTAAAATTGAATCTGGTTGGGGTTTGCATCTTGTGAATTCCCCTGTGCCTGCCTGCCTCTACCTTACAGTCGACGTCAGCTGCATTAAGGGAACTGTGTGACGGATGATAAAACGGAGCAGCTTGTCTAATATCATTGTGAGTTTACAGTTAACGTCTTCCATAATGTATTCTGACAGCCTTATCTGCCACGTGATCTTTTTTTAATTCCGCTCTTTCAAAAAAGTACATCTCAGTGTCAGAGTTATGTCTTCATGCACGTTAGCAATCCATTCACTGCTGGTAACACATTGTTTTTACCCATCAGTGTGATTACTCGTTTGTTGGAAGTATCATCAAAATATCTAGACATATTTAAAAAAACAACTCAGAAAATGAATATTGGATGTAACTCTATAACTGATTAACTTTTGGACTCAAACCTATTTAAAATGGTTGCTACAGCTAAGCAACCAGAAACGAGCATGACTCAGACAGTTTAGGCTAAATTGAGATAAAATTTTGAGTTTCTAGTTGAACATCATACTCAGCATATGATCTGAGCTCTACATCCTGTCCAGTATTTTAGCTTACTCTTTTTTGGGGGCATTAACTGTTGGTATAATCTCTGTCTGTTAGCTAAATAACTTATGAACGACGGCAGATTTTAGTGAAAATCTAAAAGTAATCATTGGAAGCGCATCTACATCTGATGAACTTTTGGAGTAACATAAATTTAAGATGGCTACTGCATTGTTTTGTGTTTTTTTGTTAACACAACATTACTATACCCCAGTCAGTTTTACAGTTAGTGGCCCAGACTCATTCCTAACACGTACATTGAGCACTACACACTTGTCACATCTTTGCTTAAAATCTTGTCATCAATGGTGTCAGCTCTGTTTTTATCTGTTAGCAAAATATTTCATGAACCACTGGACAGAGTTTACTGAAAATAAACATGAAGAAGAAGTACATGAAGAACTGATTGGTTTAAGAGCAAATTCAATTCAAGATGGCTTCCACAGTTAATCAGCCTGATCCAACACACACAAAAAAAAAACGGCTTTAACGCAGTCAGTTTTACAGATATGCAGCTAAGTCTGGTAGTAGCTGACAGTCATTCACAGCACATACTCTGAGAACTAACAAATTGTATGGAACTTTGCTATAACTTGGTCCCTTCTCTTTGCAGATATTAATTTGAAACTGGAATAAAGGGGGCATATAATATGAAGTCCAACATTCCTTGAAGGTTCCCACAGTATTTGCTTTTGCCATGTTTCTTAGAGCGTAGAAGACATCCCTGATCTCTGGGTGGGGGGTGTATCTGTCTGAGCAGTAATAAAATGAGTGGGGCCTGTTTTCCCCAAAGCATCGGAGCAACAGAGCAACTTAGCATCAGTGAGAACTAATGCATAAAGATGATGGTGCTGCAGAGGTTCTGCTGCTTAATTGGGCTTTGAGAAGCCACACGCTTAACCAAGTATTGGGATTTTTCACTGGCAGCAAAATCCTTATTTCGAAGAAAACCTTTTCTAAAACAGCCGAGTATTTAAGTAAATAATTTTAATCAGTCTTTAAATGTGTTGACTACATACTTTAAAGGATGTAAATAACTGAAGAACCTTCACATTTAAATAAAAGATCGTTGTCGTTCCTCAGTAGAATTTATTTATGCCTCCAAACGTTATTCATGAGAGTCTTCAAATAATTAATCTTAAAATGTTTTGGTGAGTCAACAGACTCAGTCAATAGGCATCAAACTAGGTAGGAGCGACAGATTATATGATCAATTCCTCGTAGGCTCTATTGGATGATCACAGCTAGAAGAGTGAAGCATCTACTTGTTTCACTGTTTATTCTTTAAGACATGCAATTTTAATGGTCTATGTTTTTTTCCATAAAGCAGTAGTAGTCTGGTTGTTCAGTCAGTTCACAGCTTGTGATTAATGAGAAGAAATGAGTTGCTTGTAGATTTGGCCACTGAAGGATCATATACAAGAACTAAAAGTACCATAAAAGGGATTACAACCTAATTGGCTGTGACTAAGTCTTGAAAAAGTGTAAATAATCCAAAAGTTCTCTTATGTTAATAAATGCAAACTGCCTTTCTTTAATGCCAAATATATCTGACTTCAAAAAAAAAACCTGTATGCTCACATCCTGAGTTGTTACTTATATGTAGAATATTTTCTTCAAAGTGACAGCGAGCTCTAATACTTTAACCTTAAAAATAAAATGGATGAATTCTCTTGTCAAAGTGTGGATAACTTTATGGAAGATTTGATACTAATTGATGAAAAAACATCTAAATTTATAAAGGAGATATGTAAACACATAAGTAAAATGTTTAGTTAGGTGTACTTATAAATATCACCCGACACTGAACGAATAAAAGCACACTTTTTAATTAGAATAAACTGACCTCAACACAGTGTGTTAGGAAAATATCTCATGAACCAATTGATTTCAACTTTCAGACAGTAATCACTGGATATCCATCGACAACTGATTAGTTTTTGGAGTCAACCCAATTTAAGATGGGTTGCCACTTTAGCCAACACAAAAATGTTATAATTCAGATAATTTTCCAGATACTCAGCTAAAGTTTGGTGTGGTAGTAGCTAAAAATAATTTACAGCCTTTTTTAAGTGCTACATTTCTTGCAGTATTGGATGAGATTGTTCATAACATCATTTACAAATCTAAGAAGGTTAATGTGGAAGGATAGTTATTTGTTGAAACATTTCATATTTTATCCAAAACACTTCTTCAGTCTAACGAGACCCACATAGACCAGTAGTGGCAGTTTGACTCCCATCACCCACTGGAGAACACATTAGGTGTCATCAGGATTCTGTACCAGTGTCCCCACTAACTCAAGAGAAAAGCACAAGAAGAAATCCCACATAAGGCCGGCCCTGGAGCAATGTGGATATCCTAACTGGGCTTTCCTGAAAGCAGAGAAGAAACCCAAACAGGATTCCAGCCAGCCATCAGGTGAAAAGGAGGAACCCAGACCAGTGGTCGTTCCATATGTTGTGTGAGTTTTTGACAAAATGAGATGTTTATTTTCTAAACATGACATCCTTCAAACCCAAAGATCTGATCCCCTGGTACAAACAGAGTCATATTGTGTATGCTGTTCAGTGTCAGGAGGGCTGTGATCAGTTATACATCGAGGAAACAAAAGAGCCACTGGTTAAAGGGATGGTCCAGCACAGAAGAGCAACATCATCAAGCCAGGACTCTGCAATGATCTGCAGGCCAGTGGCCTCTTTCAGGGATAAAGATGTGCACATCCTTTGCACATGTGCAAAGGATGTGCACTTTGATAACAGTTTATCTGTTTTAAATTGTGCTCTACAAATAAAGATGACTTGACTTGACTTGACATCCTAGAGAGGAGCGCTGGTTTGATGTAGGAGTAAAGGAAGCCATCTTTGTGAAGAGAACCTGTCCATTGTTAAACATGGGCGGAGACCTCCATGTTCAGCTGTACCCCTCTTACAATGCTGTTATTGCTAGTTGCTAATGACCAATAGTTAGGGCTCTAACAATCCATTGTTAGGGTGATGATCCTCATTTTGCACATGAACAACTAGTTTTGTCTGTCATCAGCAAACTCGCTGATCCAAGGAGCTGCTTATAGTACAAAGTTTGTTGCAGCTCCTCAGACTGAAGTCTTTTGGATAAAAGACAAAAAGTTCAACAATGAAGAATCCATCCAGAGGACCTGACTCAACCTCGTCTACCTGGATTATTGAGAAGCATCAGGACATCAAAGTTTGTCCAAAACCACAACAGTTTTTTTTTTCATTTCTCATCCAAGTTAATCTTACTCTAAAACTCTGTCATGATTTGTGGCAGGTGATATGTTTTCCTTAAAAAAAAAGTACCGGTATCTGTTGTCTGTTATGCTTTTTGTGTTTACATTTTAGTCTTCTGTGTAACATTGTTGCACACAAACATATGATGTCACTGATTTCTTTATTCGTGGCGGGGTCATCTCGAACTAGCTTGAAGAGGAAAAAGTTTAAATGAAAACACAAACTGGCCCATAAACACAACATTACTCACTACATACAGTAGGTGGTGTCTAATGAAGCGCTGCAATTTATTTTTACTGCTTCTGCCATATGAACTGAGCCTTCAAGGCTCATCTGACCTAAATGGTGCAACCCTCAGAATAAAGCAAAAGTAGGTGAGCTCCCTCTCCTGCCAACAATGCAGAATCTCATTAAACAAATGGGGGGGGGATTTCTAAATGAAGACTTTATTTTCTGTAGGCAGTCAGTGCAGCCTTTTAGATGTCAGTGCTTTTTCTGTTTTTCATGAAAGAAGTGCACTGCACGCTGAATGTGAAGAGGTGCTAATACAGCTATCTGAACACTTTTGGCAGAGCTTAGATTTGCTCCCACTCCCAAATACAGATGCAGTGAATTTCACATAGGAGCTCTAAGAACAAAGTGCTCTCAATAACTGCAGCTCTCTGCCTCACACACAGACACACACATCCGGCAACACACTCCCACTTGCATATATGCTTCAGCTTGCATATTTTGTTCTATATGTACCACATACCAAAACAGCTCATAAAAATGTGTAAACATCGTCATAACGACACGTTGTATGAATACAAAGTGACATCACTCAGTCAGGTCTGCTTATTACAATGTAAAGTCCTTCTTCGTATGCTGAACAATGTCTTCAGGCTTTCAGTCCAATGAAGTTGCACCTTTGTAAACATTCGCTCAGCGCCATTGTACAAACTGGCCCAGAATCAGCAGTTTTTAAACCTATGGTGGTCTCTCACACCATGGTCAGCGCAGCCCGGTCTGGAGTCATGGAGCCCGTCTTTACAGAGATCCACAAGTCTTCATCAGTTGAATTCTTTTTCTTCTTCTTGGTTTCTGACCTTGAGGTATCTCCACAGCAGCAGCAGCAGCGGTTGGCATGACGACAGCAGCAGCAGTGGCAGCACACCACCACAACGGTGAAGAAGACCAGCAGGGGCAGCGTTAGCAGGACAGCCAGGCAGATTGAGTTGTACACGCCCTGGTTGTGTTTATCCGTGACAAAACTCCAAAGCTGGGTGAAAAAGTCCTGGATGGCGCTGAACTTTCCCTCCATGGCTTATGGGCTGCAGAGATGTGACGCTTTTTTGAGCTAAGCAAATAGTTGGAACGGCTCCTTTAGAGAGTCCTTTTTGAAGGTCAAAAGTTGATTTATGATGCTTTCTGTTGAAAACGGAGACTATATTAGTCCATCTGCTGTCAAGTCAGAAAATTTCATTGAGTTCTGAGTTTCACAAGCTGCTCAAAGTCCTAAAGATCCCAGATGAGATATTTTCCATTAAGCAGTGCTCTATCTGATCGATGTGTTCAGGCTTGTGGGGTTTCTGTTGAACAAAGACACTGGAAGTTAACTTAATGGATGCCTTCTGTTCACAAGTGTTCACTGTATCGTCTTAACAACCAAGCTCTCTTGTTGGTGGTGATCTTTGGCTGGAAATCAACCAGCTGCTATGATTTGATCGGTAGTTGTGTTTGGTGAGGCAGGTCCGCATTCCACTTGAGTTTCTTGAGTTTCCTCGTGTCCTCTTGCCTTTTTTTTCAGTTTTGCTGAATTGCTGAACTGGTGTAGCTGTGAATAAAACAAAAAAACAAAACAAATTATGAATATATAACCTCTGACAGAAAAGTGGTTCCAAGCATAAAGTTTGTCCTTCTCCCTCCTTGGCCCTCTCTTCCCATCCATCTGTCTTTTCTATCTCGCGTTTCTCCCTTTTGTCTGTGTCGGCTCAGAATTTTGTTTTTTAGCTTTTCTTTCATTAATATTGCAGAGGAGTCATTCAGGATTCAGAGCAGATCCATTCAAGAGTCCCGCAGAGGATCAGGGAGGCAAATAGAGAAAGAAATGAAGGGAGATTGTGTCTGAGGGAAGGCGAGACAGAACGAGAGAGAAGCAATCTTTCTAAGTGTCCCGCTGAGATGGAGATTGTGACAGAGTGTCAGGGAAAACAAGAAGAGTGACAGAGAAAGGCCGAAGTGAGACCTCCTGAAGGAGATTTAGCTGCATCTACTCAGCTAATGATTTCAAATTGGTGGAATCTGTCTCAGTATCTGTATTATTTTCTTCTGCTTTGTTTCTTTGAATCAGTTCTGAATGAAACACTTTCTGTTGCTAAAGTGCAGATAAAACCAGTTCGAATAAAACTAAGCTGCTTCTTTGTTTAATGAAAGCACAAACCATTTGATTAAGTCTAAAGCCTTAGGGAACAACAATTTTTCCCCCCTTTTCCCCCTAAATGACACTAAACGTCATTTAACTCAAGTAGCGCTGCAGCTTTCAGCTTTAGACTCTGTACTCGAGTTGGAGGAGGCAGGAAACATGTTTATCTCACGTATGGTTGCTTCTTATAGAGAGACAGAAGATGCACCTGCAAATGGAGAGAAAATAGATTTGATGTGGCTGTCACCACACGTTGCAACTCATGTGTGAAATAAGTTTACCTGCAGAGAGACGCTAACTTCCCTCCTGCTCTGTTGCTCAACAGGAAGCGGCACACTTGAACTGAGTCAGAGGCTCGAGAAATCTCATCAGTTCATATAGAATAGATCGAAATTGAAAATCCTCTTTGTTGACTGAAATACTTTTATTTCCGAGTTGGTTCTAATTAAAAGTGCAAAGTATTATTACAAATGTATTCGCCCATTTTAACCCACTTATCTTTATGCAAATTTATAACTGCAGATGTATGTGGCTTACGGAAAACTAACAACTTGAGAGAACTTAAGTAACTTGTAAGATGCATTTTAAAACAAGCTATACAAGCAGTACACAAATGTAAGTAAGTAAGTAAATAAACTTTATTTATATAGCACTTTTCATAGATAAAATCACAAAGTGCTTTACAGAAATACGTATGTATGTTCAATAATTATAGACCGATATCCTTATTACCACAGTTCTCAAAAATTCTAGAAAAACTATTTGTGACCAGATTAGATAAATTTATTACTAAACAAAACATTCTAAGTAGCAGTCAGTATCGGCTTAGAGCATAAAACTCTACATCAATGGCTCTCATGGAATTAATAGAACAAATAACTACTGCTGTCGATCAAAAACAGTACTATTCTCCTTGAAAAATTGAATAAATATGGTATACGAGGACCAGCATTACACTGGGTATCTAGCTATTTAAAGATAGGAAACAGTTTGTACAAATAAATGGTGTAAGATCTGACCTCTGCAATATCACGTGTGGAGTTCCTCAAGGCTCTCTACTTGGACCAAAGTTATTTATTTTATATGTGCATGACTTAGTGAATGTATCAGGACTCCTCAAATGTGTCCTTTTTGCAAATGACACCACATTTTTTTGTTTGGGTAAAGATGTAAAACGGATGTTGGAATTGATGAAGACAGAATTTGATAAAATACAAACTTGGTTAAACCTTAATAAATTATCATTAAATTTAGATAAAACTAAATACATGCTATTTAGTAACAAAAAGAGAACTGTTGACGATCCATTTAAAATTGAGGGTGTTGAGATTTGTAGAGTTAATGAGATGAAATTTTTGGGTGTAATCATTGATGAACAGCTAACATGGGAAAATCACATAAATTCTGTAAGAACAAAAATATCTAAATCTATTGCAGTACTATACAAAGTCAGGGAATTATTAAATGATAAAGCTCTGTACATGTTGTATAACACAATCATTGTTCCACATTTAATCTATTGCATTGATGTTTGGGGGAAAGCGTGTAAAAAATTACAAAACCTATTTTTATTTTACAGAAAAGAGCTGTAAGAATTATCACCAGAAATCATTACAGTCACCCATCAAGCACATTATTTTATCAACTGAAGTTATTGAAGTTCCATGATTTGGTAGATTACAGTATTTTATCAGTTATGTATAGGGCTCAAAATAACACATTACCATTAAATATCCAAAGAAATTTTGTTAAAAGACAAAGTTGTTATAATCTTAAGGGGATAGAGATATTTGTCAAACCAAAATTCAGAACTAGTCTGAAGGGAAGGTCTACCTCAATCCAAGGAGTTGGATTGTGGAATGGTCTAGAGAGTGACGTTAAAAATGTCAAGTCAATGTGTACATTTAAGAAAAAGGTCAAAGCTGAATCGTTAAAAAAATATATATGAAGTAGCTTAATGTGTGTTTTGTATTAGAATTAGAAAAATTAGAGAGTTATGGCAGCACGGTGGCGCAACTGGTAGAGCTGCTGCCTCTCAGCGAGCAGGTCCCTGGTTCAAACCCCGGTCCAGGGGCCTTCTGGGTGGAGTTTGCATGTTCTCTTCGTGCATGCGTGGGTTTTCTCCGGGTACTCCGGTTTCCTCCCACAGACCAAAAACATCCATGTTAGGCTGATTGGTAACTCTAAATTGTCCCTAGGTGTGAGTGAGAGAGTGAATGGTTGTTTGTCTCGTTTGTCTCTATGTGGCCCTGTGATGGACTTGCGACCCGTCCAGGGTGTACCCCGCCCCTCGCACAGTGATTGCTGGACATGGGCACCAGCGACCCCCGTGACCCAAAATGGAATAAGCGGGTAAAGATAATGGATGGATGGATGGAGAAAGAGTTATTCATTTTGTTCTGTTACTTGAAAATTATTATGATTGAACTAATTGTTTGAAAAAGGGGCAGATATAATAAGATTTTTTCTTCTTTCTGCTGCCTTTCATTTTAAATCTCTTGTATTTTTTTATATTGTTATGGAATTGTTTTGTATTTTTTTTAAATGAATAAACTTAATACCATACCATTCCAAATACAATATCCATCCATCCATCCATTATCTTTTACCCGCTTATTCCATTTTGGGTCACGGGGGTCGCTGGTGCCCATGTCCAGCAATCACTGTGCGAGGGGCGGGGTACACCCTGGACGGGTTGCAAGTCCATCACAGGGCCACATGGAGACAAACGAGACAAACAACCATTCACTCTCTCACTCACACCTAGGGACAATTTAGAGTTACCAATCAGCCTAACATGCATGTTTTTGGTCTGTGGGAGGAAACCGGAGTACCCGGAGAAAACCCACGCATGCACG